CCCTCCCCCATCGCCAGGTTACTAATAACCAGTCCTTAATCAACAAGAGTTCTGCCTTTGGGCTTGTCAAAATATCTGAATTATGGAAACCAGGCTTAACTATACAATTAACCAATACTGTTAACCAGTTGTCAGTCTATTAGATGTTTATTCCAGCGCTTGGCACTGGTTACTAAGTTAAACATTGCTGTAAGTCGCCTTCGGTTGCTGTGCTGTTCACAACGGCTGAGATGCTTTAGGTCGTCAGAATTGATGGTCATTCGAAAAGAGACCATTGAATGATAATTTTCGAGGTTAGACAAAGGCACAAATTATAATAAGCGAGTAAGGGACAAGGAAAGAGAAGATTTTAACAGAAGTGAACTGACAACATTGAGCAACGAATGGCTAGTTTTCAGTGCAAGATCTCAGGTAATTTCCTCGCATGATCACGGCTTAAACAGATCGTACGCTTCACGTTTGGCTTTTCAGAACGTAAATCAGTTGAAAACTGCGTTGTAGAACAATATTTGTTTTGTATAATTCAATGACAGCTGAGTAAAGAAACTTTAGCTTTTCAGCTCATAACTTCGCTGATCTTGAGAATCTATAGCGCTTGATTGTCTCTAGTTCTCTTAATAATTTGTTTCCTCTGGTGGGGTGTACTTAAGGCAACAACGTGATCTTTAATTTATTATTTGATACAGCTGATTAACAATCAGCGTCAGTCGAAAAAAGTTCACAGCCTCTTTTCTACGGTTCTGTTAAAGCAGCTGTTTGAATCGAGGTAAATTCGTACATATATTAAAAATCATTTGACAATAAACCAACGCGATAAAAATGGGTTAAAATTAGTACTGAAAAATGTTATCCGATTGCCAGTTTCATATTTTTCTTAAAATTGAAATGTCTATCGTTTCAGTCATTGTATTATTATGGCATGCTACATATTTTTGCAGTTTCCTCATAAATCCCATGTGTGGCCAAAACTTCATGAAAGAGGCTTACAGGAGTTAAACGAGAAACCGCAGGAAATTTCATTAATTTTCCATTCCCCCAAATGTTACTTTCAGCCAACATGCACTTTCATCGACAGATTTTAATTATGAATTAATTACACTGTGTTTCACTCCTTATTTGTACAGCTCTGACTGCATATGTCCACCTCTCCGTAATGCATGAAGTGAAGAGTTGTCTTACATCAGGATTAAGATCACTGATTAATTTTTCTCTTACATATTGACTTGGTAGGTACTGAAGTCATAAGATACTGGCCTGTGGTTTTAGTTTTCTCTCGTTATGTTTCCAAACTTTGTTGTTATTCATCAGAAGATGCTGAAATAATTAACAACTATTCACCGAAGTGGAGGTGAATAGTTGTTTTAGTATATACTAAAACAGTGAGATAATATACACCACCGTGGTTAATTTGAGTGATTTCTTCGCTTGCCACGGATGCAAACCGGGGCGCCATTTTTTCCCGAGTTGCTCGGAGGTAAATAGCAAAAGATATTCGGAGTTTGACTAGCCAATCAGAGCGCGCCTTCAACGCTATCCACTGTTTTAGTATATACTAATTCATTATATATTTGCTCGCTGTGAGACAAGATCGTTCTTGGAAAAATGCAGGATATTTTGCCCACAATGATCAAGGGAAAACCTATTTCTTGCGAAATATAAATTCAAGTAATGTGAAATTAGAAGTGTTCCATTTAGCAACTTGATTATTTTGCCAAGTTTAAATCGATGCAGATGTCTTTGCAATTCATGAATTTTATCGCAGTACAATGTGTTATTTTTGGTCACTCGCAGCTGGCAGAAACTAAGTTTATTTTGGCTATAGTATCTCTGGGAGACAAGCATTCCTTGAGCCTCACAACATCTTTAAAGGAATCAATTTTTTAAAACGGTCATGTGAGGATAAAGCTCGGTCAACTCTTCTAAAAAGACTTAGGCTTACTCTATTAACCTTAAGAGATGACTGAGTACTGATAAACTCATACCATCCATTCATTTCTCCAGTGACATAAGTAAAAACGTCGCAGTGTACGTTTAAAAAATTTAGAGTAACATTTAATGATGATGATGGTAAATGTTATCAATAACGACGAACTAACACCACTTTTGATGCCTTTCAGCTTGTTCAACACTGGACCAGGTAAACTGTCTCTACAATCTCATGGCCGGTCTTCGAACAAGCTTTGTTTCATCAAAACTAGTAAAACTGATCAAATACCTAGTTCTAGTGCTGTTTATTTTCGTGATGGTATCCATCAATTTTTATGTACTCAACAGTTTCTCAACAAAGAAAACCCTAACAATGAATGGTGAGCGAGAAGAAGAAACAACAAGATTGATCTGGTCAAGAGCAAGCCACCTAAACGCAGCCCCCTTTTTACAAAGAAAAAGGCCTTCGACACCAAGAATTCTACCAAAAATGTCCAGCAACCTTGATTTAGCGACGATTAGACTAAACATTTTCAACAGTTCTTGTCCAAAACGATTAGAGATTATGCAATATGGAATAGTTGTCTTCAGATATATCGCTATCAGACCCAAGCTTGGGCACTCCAGAGCTCTCGAAGCCTTCTTAGAAGAGCCCAGTGCAGAAGATGAATTATTTCTTCTCTCGAAAGGTTTCTTCACGCTTTATTGTCATGGGGATGTGGACCGGGTTGAAGAAAAACTACTTAAGGCAGACGAGGATTACACTCTAATAACATGGAAAATTGCCTTTGAAGCTGTAAATCCTTGGCAATTTTTACGTCTTGGAGGGCACCCGTCAGTTCAAGCCGGTCATTACTTGGCAATCCAAAGGAATGAATTTGCCAATGTTTATTGGACTATTGTCGATCTTTTGGACATTTTTATCACATCGCAAAGTTTGGGCATAGAACCTGATAAGCTGAACATTATTCTGATGGATGCTCATCCAAAGACATCACTGGACCCTTTTTGGACTGTCCTGTTCCAAAGGCTAATAAAGCTGACCGATCCTATCTTTGTAGAGTCAAATTGTGTTTTGTTCGAAAATCTGCTTTGGAGATATCCGCCTGCGAAGTCTCCTCTATTGGACAGCAGCCTAAATTCCCTGAAACACATCCAACCTTTTAGGTCTTTTGTGTTAAGGAGGTTTGGCATTTCATCTGGAACACACTTTCGAAAATGCAATCAGCTAAATTTAAATATCTTGTTCATCTTGAGGAGAGACTACAAGAGTCATCCGAGGAATTTGGCTGGAATCATCGACAGAAAGATCGCCAATGAGGAAGATGTCTTAAGTGAAATTAAAAGCAGTTTCCCCGATGCAAACATCACTCCAGTGCAACTGGATCTTTTAACATTAAAAGCACAGCTGGAAATAGTTGCCAAAACAGACATTTTATTCGGAATGCATGGTGCAGCACATGCATTTTCTATATTTATGCCACCAGGTGGAGCTGTGGTTGAGATGTTCCATCATAATTCCAATATCTATAACTGGCATATGAACAAAATAGCGACCCTATCAGATCATTCCTACATCAACTGGGAAAACACAGATATGCGAGCAGTTGATACACTTCGAAAGTCGATTGTAATTCCCCGTGGAGTTTCATACAGGTTGTTAAGAATGGCAATTGACAGCATTTGTCCTAACAGCAATTAGCTCTCACATGTCCTGTCTTAAATACTTTAATGAGGTTTGCTTTGGTTGGCGTAATGGTAGACCTTCGTAAACCTCGAATCTCGTGACAAAACAATAGAAAGAAATATTAGCCAGCGAGAACTAAGGAGGAGGGGGTTGGTAATATTATTTTGATCTACCTCGGGGGGCTTAGTTATTTCAGCTACTTTGGGGGGTGGCCTATTAGAGTGGGGGGAACTTCATAGAGGGGGGGGACTTGTCAACTTAGCCCAATCTTCACTACCAGGATACAATAGGATATGTATGGACAATATTTAATCAAAAATCGTTCTCATTTTACATTTTTCATTTACCAAATTGGCAGAATAAAAATCCTCAGGTAAGTCTGATGAGTTATATGATTTGTCATAATCATCTTGTAAATCAGTAAAGCAGAAACACAACAAAACAGTAGACTAAAGTCAAATGAACAACAATAATGAAATGCTTCATCGTACTAGTAAGGCTCGATTACAGTTCAACATCAATCGTTTCATTATCTTCATCCAAAACTAGATATGCCACGTCTTCCGGCGTAAATCCTTTAATTAGCCCCCGGGGGGGCTTATCTATTTCAGTTACTTTGGGGGGGGACGGCTTATTAGAGAGGGGGGCTTAATATATACGCCTATAGCCCGAAACACGGGTATGTCCACAGTTTTAACTGTGGGGCTGCACCTATGATGACGAAACTCCTTGGCGCATGGGCAGCGTCCCTTGGCGAGGTACTCAGTTGATCGACGACATAGCAAAGCTGAGATGGTCGCAGAGAAGCTCGTTGCATAACACCCACCCATCCCACCCCAGGGGAGGACATCCACCACACAGTAAACTCGTGCGTGGGAAATTAACTTCATTTATTTAGATTAGCATTTGAATTGTAAAACTCAAATACCACATGTACAAAGCAAACTGACTAAAAACCTTGGAATCTTCTATCAACTGCGGAATTACCTAAATTTGAAGATGCTAAGACAACTGTATTATGCACTTATTTACCCTTATCTTAATTATATAACAATCCAACAACTGTTCCAGCAGTTTTCCATATTTTCTTAATACCTATAACAGCTGTCCACTCCTATAACACCACAAAATCCGCCAAGCTTAGTTTCCACTGACCACAAGTCAGAACTAACATAGGCAAATTTACTTTTAAGTACTCTGCTTTTGTTATATGGGAAACTGTCCCCTTGGCATTGAAAAAATAAAAACATTTAACAGGTTTAAGAAACTTTATGTGGCCCACCTGATCTCCACGGTCAATCAAATAATGTATGATCTGTTTAGTGATCAAATATGGTATGTAATTATAGATGTGGGTAGTGGCTAGACTTTGCTTGAAGCCGGTCTAGAAAAGGAAAGATAAGGCGCTTCCTTCCCTCCACTAGCCTGGGTGGACACCTTGGACAAGTGTTAGCACACCCTTAGCCTCCCTTAACCAGGGTTACGGTCCCACTGCCTTGTGGTGGCTAGGGATAGCTAAAGGGTAAGGGAGCAAACCCCGACAGAAAAACCGGAGTGGAGCCCCGTAAGGCGGTTTTGACGCTATATCATTTTCTGGCAACTCCTGCAGTCGACCTGGTCCCGAACGTACTGGCCCTGCCTTTCCTTCGGACTCTACCAGCAAGACCGAGAGGGGGATTCTGGGACTTGGGCAAACCAGTATCTCCATATCAACCGCCCAGGCAAGCGCATGGAGAGGCAACTTCAGCATGCCCTACGGCTTCGCCTGGTATGGAAACAAACCGGGGAGTGGCAGTTACCGGTTCTAAGTCATGGCTTGCTTGGGGTAGAGCCAGGCGCCAGGGGTCATTCCTGACAGTGAGAGGGGCTTTTTAGCCCCATTGCAAAGCTACCGCCCGCTTAAACTGGGGAGCCCTCAGTCAATAAGGTGCTTTCCCGCCACTGCCCGCCTGTCTTGCTGGGGTGAGCAGGACTTAAGTCTGGAAACAGTCTGACAAGTGGGCTGCGACTTATTCACCTAAGAATCAAGGATCTATTAGAAGAAGACCAGCTTTTACACTTGGGAGTTGGAACGTCCGAACGATGCTGACCGGAATTACCAAGGACATACGCGACACTAATGGGGCACGCAAAACAGCCGTCATCAGCAGAGAATTGGTTAGGCTCAAAGTTGATATCGCTGCTTTACAGGAAACGTGCATAGCTGGTTTCGGAAGCCTAACGGAAAAGGAATACACATTTTTCTGGAAGGGTAGAGATGAAGATGAGCCTAGAGTACATGGAGTTGGTTTTTCTGTCAGCAACAAGCTAGTACAGATGGTGGAGCCGGGCTCAACCAAGTCTGAGCGCATCATGCACATAAAACTCAATACCGATCTAGGTCCCACCAATTTGCTTTCTGTCTACTCTCCAACCCTGGCTTCGACTACCGATGCCAAGGATACCTTTTACAGCCAATTGGATAATGCTATCAAACATATCCCAAACAACGAAGTGCTGATTCTCCTCGGCTATTCCAGCGCTAGAGTGGGCAACGATCAAGGCTCCTGGCCTGATTGTCTTGGTCACTTTGGTGTTGGCAAATGCAATGAAAATGGTCAACGCCTTCTGGAGCTTTACACCTATCATCACCTCTGTATTACAAACACATTCTTTGGTGTGAAGCTGCGCCATAGGTTCTCGTGGATGCACCCTAGGTCCAAAAACTGGCACCAACTCGACCTCATCATCTCAAGACGGGAACACCTTAATAACATTCGTACTATAAGGGCATACCACAGTGCTGATTGTGACACTGATCACTCCCTTGTCTGCACGAAGATCCAGTTACTTCCAAAGAAGGTCCATCGTGTCAAACAATCTGCTACACTTCGCATTAATGCTTCTGCCACCGCAATCCCTGAAAATGTCTCTATATTCAACGACATCCTGAGCTCGAAACTCGGAGACTGCCTGGAACTTAACACAGAGGACCACTGGAGACATATCAAGGACACTACCCTTGCTGCAGCATTAAAGGTCTTTGGCAAGAATGTACGCAAAAGCCAGGATTGGTTCAATGCAAACATCGCGACTCTTCAGCCGCTCATCGAAGCAAAGAGGAATGCCCTGCAGAACTACCAGCGTAATCCATCACCTAGCTCCTTACAATGGATATATGAAGTTCATTTATTTTGAACTGCGGTATTAAATACGTATGATATTCGATCCTTCGCAGTAGATAGCGCTATTTATGCAATAGCGAAAATCAGACCTGAAAAAAATCAGGCCTGTACGGGATTCGAACCCGTGACCCCTGCGATACTAGTGCAGCGCTCTACCAATTGAGCTAACAAGCCAACTGGGAGCAGGCCGTTAAGTTGATTCGTAATAAACCCGTGAAAGTGATAAATGAGATACAATGAATATATGAAGTTCATATATTTTGAACTGCGGTATTAGATACGTATGATGCACGATCCTCGCAGTAGATAGCGCTATTTATGCAATAGCGAAAATTTTCGCTATTGCATAAATAGCGCTATCTACTGCGAAGGATCGTGCATCATACGTACCTAGCACTTTGGAAGCACTTCGGGAGGCCAGGCGTCGTGCGAATGAAAAATGTTAGATCTGTGCTAACAACTTTGGGATGAATCTCTGTACTGAAATCCAGTCAGCTGCTGACACTGGAAATTTTAGGGGCATGTTTGAGGGTATCAAGAAGGCGATTGGACCTACACAGTCCAAGTCCTCACCAGTCAAAACATCAACTGGTGAAATCATTACTAATAATTAAAACTGATGGAGTGCTGGGTGGAATACTATAGCAAGCTCTATGGTAGATCGAGCTCTGTCTTACCCTCTGTCCTTGACTGCATTGAAAGGCTTTCCATCATGTTTGAACTAGATGAGCCCCCCACCAAGGAAGATCTCTTAAAGGCAATCAGTCACATATCGTCTGGAAAGGCCCCTGGGCTTGACGGTATCCCGGCTGAAGTCTTCAAATGCAGTGGAAACCAATTGCTCGACAATCTCCACCAGCTACTCTGCAAATGCTGGGAAGAGGGATACGTTCCCCAGGAGATGAGGGATTCTATTATCTCAACCCTATACAAGAACAAAGGAGACCGCAGTGATCGCAACATTTACCGTGGCATCTCACTTCTGTGCATTGCTGGAAAGCTGTTTGCCCGAGTAGCATTATACCGCCTTCAAAAGATCGGTGAAAGGGTGTACCCTGAATCCTAGTGTGATTTCCGCTCTAATCGGTCGACTGTGGACAGGATGTTCTCTTTGAAACAACTCCAGGAGAAGTGGAAAGAGCAACAACAGCCACTCTACATTGCATTCATCGACTTGACCAAGGCGTTTGACCTTGTTAGTAGAGACGGCCTTTTCAAGATTCTGCCCTTACTTGGCTGTCCTCCTAAACTCCTGAGCCTCATCAAATCGTTCCATGATGGGTCTCGGGGTACAGTGCAGTATGACGGAAACAGGTCTGAGGCATTCGATATAAACAGCGGCGTAAAACAAGGATGTGTGCTAGCCCCAACTCTCTTCAACATCTTCTTTTCAGTTTTACTGAATCATGCTTTCAAGTCCTCTGAAGAAGGCATCCTGATACGATCTCGTTCTGATGGTAAACTCTTCAACCCTGCACGCCTTAGAGCCAAGACCAAAGTGCGTAAGGTAGCCATCCGTGACCTTCTCTTTGCCGATGATGTTGCCCTCGTTGCTCACAGCGCTGAAAAACTCCAACTCCTCCTCAATCAGTTTTCTGACGCATGTGAGGCCTTCAGACTTACAATCAGCCTAAAGAAGACGAAAGTCATGTGCCAGGACAATGCAGCCACACCC